TCTTTCGTGGTTGTACTAGTGGACAAACTAGACAGACAAGACATTGCGTTCACCCAGGCCCTTGTGATTTAAACTGATCAACAGAGTGTTAACAGAGGGGCAATAGTTTACCAATTCTTAACTAATTAAAACTATTCTATGATGAATATATTCTAAGTATTTGTCCCTCTATGTTCACTTGATTTCTTTTCACATTAATTTTTTGCTTCCTGTTTAAGTGGTCCATCTGATTTTTTCAGTGATATGGGTATACTGTGTTTGCTGATTCACTTTCAAGCAGTTATAATCATGCACTTACCAGGGCTTGAGTGAGTTTCTGTGTGTTATGTATATGTGGTGTGAGTTTATTTAAAATGTTCTGTACGATTATTACCTAATAAGGATGTATTTCCCCTAGGGGCTTGAGCATGCATTTTCCAGCGATTCTGTAATTGGTGCATTTTCTAATCTCTGCTTCCTCATTGGTGGGACTCATCTGCAGTTGAGTTCATTTCGGCAAATGAAGGACACTTGGAGTGGGAGGCAAATAGAAAGGGCAGTGCAGACCTGACCTAGGCAGAGTCCAAGCAGACAGTGAGTCTCAGAGCCAAGTAGTTATGCAGAAGCCAGGGTTGAAGTGATGATCCTAAAACAAGTCAAGGTTAAAGAGGTGGTAGGTTGGAAAACCAAGATGATGAAAGCAGGGGATGAAGTACAGGGGCATTGCTGGTAGTAGGAGGTGGTCAGAAGTAACGGAAAAAGTGCAAGTAACCAGTTACTTTCATGTTAGTCCTACAGCCCTCAGGAGATTGTAGGGGCGGGTCCCAGATAGTTAATGGTACTAGGTTCTGGTAAGGAAGTATATCCACCCTCTTATCACTTGAAGCTGTGTCTGTTAAAATTGAATTACTGCTACACAACGTTAACAGGAATGTAAGTAAATGTATATTTTTCCAGTTGATTTTTTTTAATGGTCATATATTTCATTAGACCTGGTTGCTTGTTATGACTGGTGAAATTCAAGCTTACTTGAAATGAAAATGCATTTATTGAGAGGAAATCCTTAGAATGAGAGGAGTGTCAACTTTTTTTTCTGGCTTCAATTGGAGTATTGGTTCTTCTGTGAACATCTACAGCGCAAGTGGGTGTGTTTTCTGACTTAAATTGGGCAGATTGCGTATTTGTATCACTAGATTCTCATGCTGAATGTAAGTGAAAACAAAAAGGTCCCCTTATCTGAAGATAGGGATAGCTTAGGTCAGTAGCACTGAATAAATCCAGTTAGGAAATACAGTCAGAAAAATGGCCACCAACCAGTTAAGTGATAGCTTCTGGTAACTTTGGAATCCTGTCTAAGTTCCCTTTGTTCTGGGGAATCTTGAGATGTTACTTTGTGCTTAGGTAATGGCTATAGTCAGTTCATGTGTTTATGTTTTAGGATTAATTGTGCAGGTTTCTGCTTTTTCCTATATCATATTTAATGAATGAGAAATAGTAATACAGCTAGAAAACTATGACAAGATTACTCTCAAGATGTTAACCTGCTATATAGGCCCTCATGTATCCTTGGTATTGGCAGCTCACATGGCATATAAAGGTGATTGATTTGTGGCTTCTTAACAAATGGAGACTTTTTTCATGATCCAACCATCCTGGGAAAACTGGCAGGGTGCTATGGAGGGCATCTATCTAGGAAGGTATGAGTTTTAGAGATAATACAAGTGTCGCAGTTACTTTTCTCTTCTAGAAAAAGATAGTGTTTTTCATAGCATTAAAAATGCAGGGTGGTGTTTTGGGGGGACATTATGGGGAAGTTTCTTTTAATGGTTACCAAAACAGTCATCACAGGTTGTTTATATAGCAGAAGATACAGGGAAAATAAGTCATGGCCCTTACCTTCAGAGAGTTCTCAGTTTCTAGA